ATGAATAAATTGTGATTGAGAAATGATATACAGTTTGTATGTTGCGTTGTCAAAGTAGGAGAAACAATTGAAACCCTGCAATTGTGTGTAATTGAGGCAGAAAGTCAGATCAGCAATATGGGCCTTGGTCACATATGGCAGCAGGGTCTACTGTAGCATAGTGTATGTGGCCAGTTGTCTAATTTCTCTTTGTGTTTGTCTATTTTCTCTGTGTTAGGCTCACATGCTTATGTACATGTAGGAGATCTCGCACTAAAGATGGAGGTGAGAAACGAAACTCACAATGGTGTTTTTCATATATATATATTATATGTACAGAACAGTCTGGTGCTGGCAAGTTCCTGCTTGGTAGAGGAGTTGCTGTGGAGGAGCTTCTTTATAGGAGGTCTTCTCTGCTTAAGAGCATGGTGTTGTCTGACCTTCACAGCGAGGCAGGGGGGTATTTATATGATTCTGCCGGATGAAGAGTCGAAGTGCAAAGATGAGAAACGCTGCTGATTTGCTGAGGTGAAGGCGCCAACTGGCCAATAACCACCCAGTTCGAACGCGAGGGCTGATTTGTGGAACTCGCCGCTGGTTGGCTGGGAAGCGGAAGGCAAGTGACCAATCAGCAGTTGGAGGGGAGAGTATCCACTACACTACCATTAGCCAACACATTATCTTCCCAGGTGGTAGTACCTCCTTGTTTGGTAGCTTCCTACTACCTATTTGACCCAGGCCAAGGTTCAAATATTTCATTGGAAATTATGAAGGGATGAGGGAGGAGATGAGGGGTATCCACTGGCCTGACTCACTAAGGCATAAGAACGCAGACTCTACGCTGAATATCATAGCCAGTACAGTGACCCATTTGATCAATAAATATATACCCAAGACCAAACCCAGTGCCTTTCGGAAAACAAGGAGACCGCTACACACGAACCATGCAGCGTTCAACAAAATTAAGAAGAAAACCTAGAAATTCGAGATGTGGGTTAGGACAAACGATGAGCAGGACAAGAGGATGTATGCCAGATCCAGGAACCAAGCAAATTCAGAGTGTAGAAGGGCTGAGAAGGAGTTCCAGAAGCAGATTGCAAGCGAGGTCAAGTCAAACCCAAAGTCGTTTTACCGCTATGCAAAGTTGAAATTAAAAATGCGAGTTGGAGTATTGGACCTGAGGCATGAAGATGGTAGTTACACAGATTCTGACCAGCACAAAGCGGAGGTGTTGAACAGTTTCTTTTCCTCAGTGTTCACAAGAGAGGATGCTAACAATCTTCATGCGTTCGAGGACAGATGGTATGACACAGAGCTGACCCATTGTTTTCTCATAAATTGTTAAAGCTTAAGCTTCATAAGAGTTCCGGCCCTGACATGGTGCATCCCAGAGTGCTAAGAGAGCTGTGCAACGAGCTTGCTGAGCCCTTAAGATCCTGTTATGTAAATGCCTGGATGAGCAAAAGGTCCCCAGTAAGTGGAAAGTTTGTTATGCAAGTTCTATTGTTAAGAAGGGCGATTTACACTCCACGAATAACTATAGACTAGTGAGCCTGACCAACATAGTATGTAAAGTACTTTGAGAGCATTATAAGAGATGCCATGATGGAACAACTACAAAATAACCTTGTAAAGGACTTCTAACTCTGTTTTATACCGGGACACTCCTGCTTGACACAAATACTCAAGGTACTGAACGTTTGGACTCAAATTCTGGAATAGGGTGGCAATATCGACAATATATACCTAGATTTTTCCAAGGCCTTCAGCATCGACAGCGTACCCCATGAAAGGCTGAAAATTAAACTGGAAGGTGTATGGGATTCGGAGAAGTGCCCTAGCGTGGATCGGAGACTTTCTCTAGGATTTTAAGCAGTGTGTGGTGATTTATGGTACAAAATCATCAGGTGTACCCATCACAAATGGGGTACCACAGGGCAGTATATAGGGCCTGCTGTTGCTTGTTTGCTTCGTAAATGTCATGGCAGAAGCTATACATTCCTCCATGCAAATGTTTGTGGACAATGCCAAGTTATTTAGGGAAATTAAGAACCAAGCAGACTGTGAAGAGCTGCAGAAAGATGTCTGTGAGCTTCAAGAATGGTCGAAGAAATGGCTGCTAAGATTCAATGTCACGAAGTGTAAGAGAGTGCACCTGGGGCGTACCAATGGTAAGGAGGCGTATCATACGTCGCAACGGACTGGAGAAACTGCTTAATTGAGACTGAATGTGAAAGGACCTGGGGGTGTATGTTAATAATTAACTGAAGTTCTCGTGCCATTGTGAGAAGAAGGTGGATCAAGCAACTAAATTATTAGGTCTTATAAGAAGGGTGTTCAGATATCTAGACGGTTTGTCCCTTGTAACAATCTTCAAGAGTGAGGTGCTTCCCCTCCTGGAGTACTGTCACCCTGCCTGGTCCCCCAGATATGCTAGGGACTGTCAGTTGATTGAAAATGTCCAAGGGGGGGCCACCAGACTGGTGCCTGCACTTTGGCACCTCAGCTACCCAGAGAGATTAGAGTACCTTCAATTGCATAGCTTATACTACAAACAGGCAAGGGGTGACCTAATTGAGGTGTATAAATATCTCAAAGGGCACGACTCTGTCGAGTGTCCATACCTGGAGCTGGCGGACGCTTGCCCCACATGGGGTCACAGCTCTAGGTTGAAGAAGCTGTAAGTTCAGAAAACTGTGAGGGCAAACTTTTTTAGAGTAAGAGTTGTGAACTTGTGGAAAAACCAGCCAGAGGAGTGTTGTGATGGCATTGAGTGTGAGCTCTTTCAAGACAAGATTTGACGTGCAGTGCAGGAGGTTCAGATACATTCAGGTGCCAGTGCATGCCATACTTTTAGCAGTGTGGCATGGGGCACCGTCCTGCATGAAAAGGCTTGCCTTAGCTTTATCAAATGATTCAGGTAAGAAATCACTGGGCAGCTCAAGATAGTTGTACTGATTCATCATCTGGTTCTTAGGGAGAATTACTAGTTCTCCAACACCATAATACGTAAAGCAAGCCCAAACCATAAGCGAGGTAGGGTGCTTAACAGTCTTCACTGTGTACTGTGGGTGATATGCATCCGAGTGAGGAGGGTGGTACACCCTCCCTCCACCACTGCCAGTCACAAAAAAAAACAGCCTCGTCAGACCACAAAACACTCCTCCATGACTCTAAACCCCACACTACATATTTCTTGCAAAATTTCACCCGATTTTCCTTCTGTCTCTTCGTCAGTAGAGGTTTACAACAGTGCACGGAAGCTTTTAAATCCAAGGGCATCATATAAGGATTGCCGAACACAGCGTAAGGAGACATGGCTGAGAAGACGGGGGTTTCTCTCTTTCACTTCGCGTGCTGTGAGGGCGGGATTGGACTTATCTTGGCATGAAATAACCTCAAGTTTCTGTGGAGAAAATAATTTAGGCCTACCAGACATGGGTAGGGGAGCTGGCAACACGTCCTCTCCAAACTCACGGTGATGCTTCACAAGTTTCTGCACAACACGCAACCCCACACCAGTCTGAGCAGAAATATCTCTCAGTTCATGGTTTGCTTTGTACAATGCAATCACTGCTGCAATGTCGTCCCTTGTAGTAATCCTCCTGGACATCTCTGATGGCCACTATGTCGGGGTAAAGCAATGTAAATGAGGCAAAAAATGGCCACGGGCCGCGCAAACCCGCAGAGTTAATCTTCCCCTCACGATTGCCAGAGGCGCACTGAAAGCAAGCCGTGACGTGTGCTTAGTTGCCAAGTGTCACCACTTGCCAACCAACCAAGTGTACTAACATCTCGCGTCCCGGGACAGCCTTCACAACTTATGAACTTATTTACGTGAGAAGTTTGTTTGTCGGCCCTATCACGACCTAACTTTCCTCGCAGACTGTATAAAGGGTAAGATATTGGATTTACCATAACAATGGAGACGTTCTGCATACAGTGGCTGGCCTGACATGAAGGGGAAGGTTGTTGGGTGTTAATGGGTTAGCACTGCAGAAACCAAATTTTACTAGGGAGTGCTGAATATTAATTCTGATGCCCAAGATATGATGCAATGTATTGTCCTTTATACCCAAAATATTGGGGTGCTACAGTACCCTCCTTTCCCACGGCCATGTACTGGGTGGAGTGAGCCAGCACACACCCGACCACAACAATAAAAAACACCAGACTGACCAAGCATGGCGTGCAGCTCGTCAAGTGTTGCCCATGTGCCCAAATATGCCGAGATTTTCCCAGATAATTTTATATAACTTGGCATTTGCCGAGTTATTTTGTAATAAATTCCTAGACCATATATGTGCCGAATTATATGAAATTCTGAGATATCAAATGACAAGTTATCAAAGGTTTACTGTACCACTAATACCATTTTCTTCAATTTTATGTATGTATTACACTGAAAGTGGTTAAGAAAATATTTTTTAATATAAAAATTTCTGAACCAATAATATGCATGATTTATTTTCTGATTTAATTAGCATACTTATGAGTTGGCAATATCTCTCATGTGACATGTTCATTATTGTAGAAAAAATATCACAATTTTTAAGCATTATTTCCCCCAAAAATTCTGTGCCACGGGAGTTTCCAGTTCATAGAAATTTGGATTAAGGAAGTAAAGTCTGTAACATGAATTCCTCTGCTTTCTCCATAAAGCAGGGTTCTAGTTTAATTGGGTACTGATAGGGGTTGAGTCATGGCTTGAGTGTTGAACGGGATTTTGAGGACTACTGATCTGCATCCTCACTGGTTCTTACGATCTCAACTGGATCCACATCATGACTCCAGATTTGAGTGTGAGAGAAGGCTGCTTGCATATGGATTGCAGCATTAACATTGTGTGCAAAGTGTAACTGCATTATAATGTACAGCATTGTTTCTGGGCAGTGGCAAGCTCTGCCTAGAGTTGCATAATGATGGTACATATTAAGTATCTTGCATGTTACTTGTTTTATTCCTATATTAAAGCCCCAACCCTTCATTTTTTATAATAAAATGAGTAATGTGATCTTATTGTTAAAGGTGTTAACAGAAAAGCAACATGAAGAAGCAGCAAGAAATGAATACAACTTTGATCATCCTGATGCCTTCGACTTTGAGTTGGTTGCAAAGACACTAGTAAGATTAAAGGAAGGGAAGAAGGTTGAAGTTCCGATATACAACTTTGTCACACACTCCCGAGAAGTGAGAACTGTAAGTGGTAATGCTGGTTTATCCTGTTATGATGACCATTGACTTGTACTGTATTGCAGACTTTTAAACATTATTGGAAAGGTAGATTAAAGTTTTTGATTTAACATAAAATGATTTTATTGTTCCAAAGAAAATTGCCGTAATGTATATTATGTACAGTAATAGTTTCACTATTCGATAGTGTGCACAAGCAAGGAACAAGGTGCTGGAAGCGAAAGGTATGTTATATTTTGCTGGGAATCACATGATCATTATTGTAGTCTCAAAGTACTACTGTAGCAGTATCTAACAACACATCTTTGTGCTATTATAACTATTATACATTATTTTCTTATTTAAAAACTTTTCTAGATGATGGTAAACAAAATTCTTGGATTGAAGAGGATTTCTGCAAAGTCCAGGAAAAAAAATGGGTTTCAATAATCAGATCAACTAACAAATTGTGTTTATACAACAAAGCTGTAAATGTTTAACAAAATAATGATATGAAAAAAAAGTTTTTGATCCATCTTTTAAGAAAAAAAAGTAAAAAGGATCTGGATAAGATAATAATGATGATGTATAAAAATAAGGCCATTCAATTTAATTGTACTGTCAACATTCTTTTCAGAAAACTATGTATGGTGCCAATGTCATTATATTTGAAGGGATTTTAGCTTTCTACTCCCCAGATGTGTTGAAGGTTGGTTTTGGATACCTTGTCTTTTATACATATTGTACTGAATACAATTGTGGATATTAATGTGATTAGTACTTTTGATTATATATGTCTTTTCTATTTATATGAAACCATTTATTGCATTTCCAGTTGTTAGATATGAAAGTATTTGTTGACACTGATTCGGATGAAAGATTGGTGCGGCGACTGCAGAGAGATATTGCTGAACGAGAGAGAGAGCTTGATGGTGTCCTTAAGCAGTATTTCAAGTTTGTGAAGCCTGCATTTGATTACTATATTGCTCCATCTATGGTAAGTTGTGGGTGGAATGATATAGATTTTCTTTTATTGGCGGTGATATATTTCTTCCATCTTAGGTATTTAAAGCTCATGTGACATAACCATGAGGATTGTCTCAGTATTTAATTACTATGATTATTTTTAATGTGACTTTATAGGTTGTAGTATGTTGTGATGCTGTAACTTTTTTTTTTACCTTTCTTGGGGGGGGGGGCAGTTCACTTGCATGGTTAAGCCCTAAGCACGGTTGGGGTCGCTCCTAGGAGAAAAAAATTATATAACGAGCAGCTAATACAAATACAGTAAGTCCCCATTGAATGTTAATCATTTGAACGAATCCCAAATATAAGGAAAGCAAGTTTTACTACCCATTTGCTGATTAACGAGAAACCTTTCTACTATTACAAAAGGTAAATCACCGTCACCTTTCTGCTTTCTCGCCACCAACTCCATGAACACCACCACTACCTCTATTATCACCACCTAAATCATAATTTCACCGTCCTCCCTCCCTCCCACCCACTGCTCTCACCGACACTCAACCTCTCTCACTCATTCTACTATGACTGTCATTCATGATCGTAGTACAATGTTGTACAACAACAAAAATACTGTGTTGCCAAATCAGTAAATAAAAGCCAAATGAAAGTTTAACAAAGTTGTCATTTGGATACACTCCCTAGTTCTCCATAGTAACAGAGACCAGCTAGGAGGTACCTCCTCCATCTCCCTAGCAACACCCCTTCTCCCCCCCCCATACTACACTCTGCACCCTCCTCCCCTTCCTCACTGAGCCAGCTAACTCATATGCAAAGAAATGTATGTTCCCTTTATGTATATGCTCTGAGGACAATGGTGTGTGCATGTATATGAGTAAAAATAAATGAAGTTACATATATCTACCCAAAAATATGAGTTGAAAATAACCATAACACCTCATAGCTTGGCCAGTAGTCTGGTGGTTACAGTGACCCAGTCACCTGGTGGTTTCAGGGGTGCAGTGCTGCCTGAGCTCACCGGAGCACCGCTCCGGCACCTTTGTTTTGATCAATCAATCAATCAATATCGCCGACTCCTTGTTTCCTCCCGGGAACTCCCCAACAGGGGTTGGCCATGGCAGAATTATCTCCAGGCCATTTTATCCTTGCACACCTCACTTGCTCTCGAAACACTCTTCCTCCCCTTCCCGCTCTCTCTTCAACAAGCTCTCTAACTTTTTTCTCCCAGGTGGCAAAATGTCTACCCCTCCCAACATTCCCCTCTCTCTTGCTATCATAAACTTTTTTTGTCAGCCCGTTTTCATGCATCCTCGGCACATGTCCATACCACCTTAGTGTATTCCTTTTCATCCACTCCACCACACCACACGTAAGTTATAGTAAGCTCTATATGTTACTATTAATCTATATTAATCAAGCAATCAACTTTTTTTGCATTAATAATACATATACAAAACCGTTATTTTTTATTTATTTATTTTATTTTATTTTATTTTTTTTTTACGGGGATTAGCCCACCCGGGCACAGGTCACTGACCCACATCAGGGCCTGGGGGGCGAAAATATGATAATGATTATACTGTATATCGCGGCCTATAAGGCGTCGGGGTGCATAAGACGGCCCCCCCAAATTTCCATTTAAAAAGTAGCTTTTGAGCTCTATTTGCTGTATAAGACCAGTACCCCAAGTGTGACACTTACCCACTGACTCAGTAGTCCTTTACCAACCATCCTTGGTTTTTTAAAATAAGGCCAATTCACTTCAAGTAATGTCATCAAATATTACCCGCTGGTGTAGTGTAAACACTAGTGACGTCACTGAAGCGTCTGCTATTTACCGGTAACTGAAACTAATGTCGGTGTCGAGTAAAATTTTTCCATTTACTTGAAATGGATTTACCGATTTATTTGTTTATTTATTTATTTATAATATACTGTAACATATTAAACACACTGCAAGTATTTTCTTTCATTTATACGCTTGCTTCGCACGAGACGATCGGTGGTGGGAGTGTTCCCTTGTCTCAGTGGTGGGACTGTGTTCCAACTGTTTATACAACAGGTGGTTCAACAGCAACCACCGTATTCTAATTGTGGTGTTTCATTAGGATTTGAGTGGAAAAGGTTACCGGTATGTACTTACTACATACATTTATTACACAAACATATTTATATACAGCTAGACCCCGACTTACGACGGGGTTAGGGACCCAAATCCAGGTCGTAAGTCCGACAGATTAAAAAAAATAAATAAAAAAAAATAAAAAAAATTTAAATAAAAATCTACAATGAAATACAGTACAGTAAAAGTAATGAATAATGAGGAATGGATACAGTACAGTGAAAGTAATAACTAATAAGGAATGGTTACAGTGTGACTGAGCACTTACCTTTAATGTAGTCAGCTGAATGCACATGGGGCCCCCATAATTTTCTAATTATACATGGAGACTACATTAACTGGAAACGTTTCGGTATAGAAAATGCGTGTCATTTGAAAAAAATAAAAAAATAAAAAAAATAAAAATAATAATAATAAAAAATCTGAGGCGGTCGTAAGTCGAAGCAGTCGTAAGTCGGGGTCTGTCTGTCTGTGTGTGTATATATATATATATATATATATATATATATATATATATATATATATATATATATATATATATATATATATATATATATATATATACTGAATATACTATGTACAAAAATGAATGTTCAATGAATTATTTATGGTGCATTAGGGTACTGGCCACTTCAGACACAAAGACGGGCTATAAATAGCCTTGTTATCTACCCCTACATCTCACCCTGAGCCAGAGGGAAGCGTCTTGGTAAATAACATTTGTTTGCTTATTTTCCATTTACTTGAAATAGATTTACCGAATTATTTGTTTATTTATTTATTTATAATATACTGTAATATATTAAACACACTGTAATTATTTTCTTTAATTTATAAACTTGTTTTGCAACAAAGGAATGTTCTCCAGTAGTGTTTCATTAGGATTTGAGTGAAAAATTATTACGTACTTACTACATACATTTATTACACAAACATATTTATGTATACAGTGGGGTATGCTATAACGAACGTAATTGGTTCCAGAACCTCTTTCGTTGTAGCATTCGTTCATAGGATTAATCCGTTCCAGGCCCCCAAATACAACCACTTAACACTGAAAAAATTCTGTGGAAAATGTAAAAAATACGGCACTTTATCTTACCTTAGTGTTATTCAGCATGCAGGTACCCCTAAACACTGGCACAGCACTATCACTTCCACTGGGAGTCTTGGCTTTAAGGTCCTCAAACAATTGTTTAGCCTTCTCACAAATTATAGCTTCACTAATGTTACCACCTGCCATTTCTTTCTCCTTTATCCACACTAAGAGTAAATTTTCCATCTCTTCAATCACATTACACCTTGCTTTGCTAAGTCTAGAGATTCCCTTAGCCACTTGCACTGTTTTTAACTCCCCTTTATTCTTCAAAATCGTACATATAGTCGATTTAGCCATCCCATGTTCATCACTAAGTTTCGCAATGCTTCTTCCATTCTCACGTTTCTTTATAATTTCTTTCTTAGTTTCAAGGGTTATTAGCTTTCTCACTCGCTTTGGACGATTCATTGTTACAATTGTATACTTGTACAACAAAATAGTTATACAAATAACGCGAATTTCCATATTAAAAGACGAAATTTCAACAATAACAGTGGTGCACTGGCTACACAATGAGAAAAACATGGCGCCTGACGCTCTTGTTGTGGGTCGTGGTACAACAATATTCATGCGCCAGGCGAAATAGTCCCGTATTCATCCGCGTTCGTTGTAGGAGTTGCGTTCATTATAGCATTCTCAATTTTATAGGTAAAACCGTTCGTTATAGGAATATTCGTAGTAGGATCCGTTCGTTATAGCATACCCCACTGTACTGTATGTATACATATATACACATGCACACATTTAATTTACTAAGTCACAATATTTTAAAAGCAAATTACCCGACAAGTTAAAAATGTTATTAGCACATGATTATTACTGACGTCATCATGTATTAAAAACCTTCAAAATCCACATCATCAACATCTGATATCATAAGTTCTTCAAGTACATCCTGAGATACATTTATGGCTGCATCATCATAAGGATCAAACTCCAAATCAGATGACGTGGCTTCGGCTTCTGTTTCATCCTCGTCCTCCCACAACATATCATCCTCCATACCATCCATTGAATTAGATATTCCGCACTTTTTAAAAGTCTTGATAACTGTTTCCACATTAATATCATTCCATGCCTTGATAACAAAATCACACAGTACATCCAGTTCGGGAGCACGCATATTCCCACCTTTCGTGTAAGACTTTTTGCCGCTGATCATCCACTTGTTCCATTGTTCACGAACGCGGTCCTTGAATGGTTTGTTTAGACAAACATCAAGTGGTTGTACAACTGAAGTTAATCCACCAGGAATAACTGCAATGTCACTGTTGTTCCTCGCCATGCTGGTTTTTGTTCCCTCTGTTAAATGACTCGCGAACATATCCCATACTAAGAGGCTACGCTGTTTTCGAAAGCCACCAGGTCGCCTACACCATATATGATCAATCCATAACTTTATTCCTTGTTCGTCCATCCACCCTTTCTCGTTGACGTGAACAAAAACTCCAGCCGGGAACTTGATTTTGGGCATTGTTTTCCTCTTGAGAATTAGCATTGGGTTCAACTTGGTTCCGTCTGCCATGCATGAAAGTACTACTGTAAACCGTGTCTTTTCGTGTCCTGTTGTTTTCACTAACACTGTTTTGCACCCTTTGTATCAACAGTATGATTACCGACCATGTCGAAGTTCATAGGTGTTTCATCCATGTTCCCGATGTTGCTTAATGGATAACAATGTTTCTTACGTTGTTGTATTATGTAGCGATGGAAATTAACAATTTTACAGTTAAGATCTGCTGGTAATTTTTGTGCTATTTTTGTCTTCTGCCTCAGTACCAGATTGCT